GAGGCAAGCGCGAGGAGTGATCAGTACAGCAACGAAGGGCAACAGAAGGACCACAAAGAGAGCAACAACACAACACATCAAACACAAACACAACAGAAAACCAACACACAACATATCAAACAGAAGCACAAGCAAACACATCAAACAGAAGCACAACCACACACAAATCACAGAATACACACTCACATACCTGTACACCATGGGAACAGATTCATAGCACTGCTTCTCTGCGCCCAGGGCCACCATGCAGCTGCATGCCAGCAGCACCGCCAGCACAGCCGCCCTCAACGTCATCATCGTCCACTGCTGCATCTCTCCTTTCTTGTTTGTGTTGGTGGGTTGCTTGCGTATTTGCTGGCAAACTCGATGATAATTGACGAACATCACGCATCAATTTTCCGCACCGCCGCAGCCACTGATTTCTGTGCTCCCGTCGGGTGAGATGCGATTGCGATAAGTTGTGACATGGCACCTTGCCTTGCCTTGGGTGTTGCTGTGTGTCTGCGCCTGTGTTGGTTTGAGAGACGTGCTGAGTTTAGTATGCTTGTCGCTTTCACCGTGGTGCGACACACGCGCACACACACGCACACACACGCATGCACTGTGCGTCACATCTCAAGATACATCTCAAAAACAACACACACTAACGAGTGGTTCTGAACCAGCAAACCATCACGTCTCACAACACGCTGCTCTCTTTTTGGTGTTGCAGACTCACCTCCTTCACTCACTCACCTCACCTCCTTCCCCCATTACCGCAACAGTTACCCTCGCGTCCTCGACTTGGCTCATCCCTCTCGCTGTGCCACCACCACCACCACCACCACCAACAACAACAACAACAACAACAAGGAGGATGAGGCTGCCGTTCGGCGCGCTGGCCCTGATGCTGGCCATGGGCTACATTGCCGTGGACTTGAACTTTGACGCACTGGCAAACACGGAGCCCGCCAAGAGCATGACATACTACCACGTGCAGCACCACACCCCACCGCCGGCGTCCCTGATCATCCCCGCGGCGATTCTCGTCGCCCTCCTCGACACCCTGTACAGCCTGCTTGTGGTCCGCGACGCGCGCGAGCTGCTCTTCCTCGTGCTCGGCTCGTACGTCCTCTATCTCTTCATCGGCATTGTGAAGCCCTCCATGGAGACCATGTCTGGCGCCAGCCTGGACGACGTGGACGAGTACATCCCACAGCTGGAGGCCATCCGCGACGCCCACCTCTACATGTGCCCCACCGTTGCTGCCATGCTCCTCTGCACCGTCTACACCCACATGATCTCCCCTCCTTCCTCCTCTTCCTCTTCTTCTGCCAGTTCGAAGCACAAGAAGAAGCACAAGTAAACGACCGGCTGTGAACGAGGAACGAGATGGGAGACAAGGGAGGTGCAAGAATTTCCTACCACAACTGATTGGTTGGTTGGCGCGCGCTGACATTTCTGCTGCATTGTCGTCGTGCTCGGCGTCGTCGCATTCACAACACAACACAACACAACACAACACAACTGGCGTTGTCTCGACAAGCACCCGCCCTGGCTACCGGCGTGTCTTCTTGTTCTTCTTGTTCTTCTTTTGTTCTTCTTTTGTTCTTCTTCACACTCAACGATGCGAGCGCCGATTGCGGGCTTTGGCATCGCCTTGCTCCAGGGCGTGACGGCGGTGGCCCTCAACTTTGATCTGATTCGCCATGCGGAACCCGCCACCACCGCCGCGTACTACCGCGTGCAGCAGACGCTGCCGCTGCCGGCGTCGCTCGTCATCCCGCTCGCCGTGCTCACGACCTACGCCGACACGCTGTACAGCCTGTTTGTGCTGCGCGACCTGCGTGAGGCGCTGTTCCTCATCCCGGGCTCCTACGCCATGTACCTCTTCGCCGGCGTGATCAAGCCCGCCATGGCCACCGTCGCCAGCGCTGCCACTGAGGCCGACGTCTCCGCCGCCCTGGACACCATCTACGACGCCCATGTCCACCTGCTCCCCTCTGCCATCTGCATGTTCCTCCTGCACATCTACACCCACATCATCTCCCCTCCTCCTGCCAAGAACAAGCACACGAAGAAGCACAAGTAAACAACACAAGTGAACAACACAACACAACTACTACTGATATCACGAATGAACAGCAAGCAGTGAGGAGTGGGGAGTGGGGAGGGTGATGGAGGGGAGGTTGTTGCACCACCAAGACCAACAGAAGACCTTTGCCATCACTGCCACCATCACTGCCGCTCCTGCTGTCCTTCGCCATCTTGGCAGATTTTCCGCACTTCGATTGCACAAAGACGACGACGATAATGGGTGGTGGCGATGGCGATGGTTGTTGTTGCTGCAGCGAGCAACGGAAGCAAAGCGGGAGACGAACGAGGAGGATGAGGAAGGAGGGGAGGGGAGTGGCATCAGCGTGGACGGTGGTGTTGATAGCAGGGCTGAGCTTGTTGACGGTGCAAACGGCGTTGGGCAGCGGGATCCACGGCCGTGGCAGTTTTGATTACGACAACGACAACAACAACAACGATGAACGGTTGGTTCGTGATGTATGTGTGTGTGTGTGTGGATGTGTATGACAACAACATGGTACTGTGGCTGCCTTGGTAGGTATCCTGTGTTGACTAATCATTGCAACACACGTGCACGTGCGCACATGCATGCATAGATCCCCGTGCACAGAGAAGCCGCCCTCCATGGCAGACGTGTTTGAGTCTGAGCAGTTTGCCGTCGCCATGTTTGCAGCAGGCTGCATCGGCGCCGTCGGTGAGTGAGTCTGTGTGTGCTTGTGTGTGTGTGCTTGTGTATGTGTGTGTGTGTGTATGTGTGTGTATGTGTGTGTGTGTGTATGTGTATGTTAGAGGCGGTTGTACTCACTGAACCCGCTCCCCCCCCTCCACACACAAACACGCGCACGCGCAGGGGTGCTTCCGTTGCTGGTACTGCCGTTTCACGTGTACAAGGAGCACACGGCGCAATCGTCGTTGCTGTTGCGGTTCATGTTGGGTGCTTCATGCGGCGGTCTTCTCGCCAACACGTGCTTTCACATCCTTCCGGAGGTATTGCTTTGTATGTGTGTGTGTGTGTGTGTGTGTCTGGACAACCACCCCCCCCCCCCCGGCCAATCTGTCTGTCACATTGTGGCCACCCAGCTCTTGCCCTCACAGAAGACCTCACTATTTCCATTCACACACACACACACGCGCGTTCTACCAGAGCTTCGGCATGATGGACGACCAGCTGTTGTTTGGCCGCCTGTCCCCGGCGGGCGCGTCCATGTTCATCGGCATCGTGTCGTTCTTCCTCCTGGAGAAGGCGGCGGCGGCCGTCGAGCAGCTCAGACACTCCACGCACACAAAGGCGGGCACAAAGGCGGCGACAATGACGAAGAACAGCACGAAAGGGGGCAGTGCCGAAAAGACGAGGGCAGGGAATGCGGTGAATGCAGTGAATGCAGCGGTGCACAGGCGAGCCGTCTTCTACCTTAACATCATCGTCAACGGGCTCGATAACGTCATGCACGGAGCTGCCATATCCGCGGCCTTCTGCGCATCATTCAAGGTGCGTGTGTGTGTGTATTTACGTGCGTGTGTGTCTGTGTGTGTGTGTGTGTGTGTCTGTGTGTGTGTGTCTGCGTGTGTGTGTGTGTGTGTGTGTGTGTGTGTGTGTGTGTGTGTGTGTTCGTACGTTGTTTGCTCACGCTCTCCTCCGCTTGTGTGTTTGTGCTGGGATCAGTTTGACGGGCGCGTTTCTCGGGCTGTACATGGATCTGTCGTCGACATCCCACGTCATCATGCCCTTCACAGCGGTGGGTCGCAGCTGATGCATATTTGGGGTTCCAAGTGGTTGTACTGCGATGTCGCACCAGTACGACGGGCTGACATGCTTTCTTCGTCACACACATACACAAACACACGCACGTACACAAACACGCATACACAAACACACGCACGCACATACACAAACACACACACACTGCACCACAGGGCGGGTTCCTGTACATTGCGCTGGCGTCGCTGCTGCCTGATCTGTGTGATGACGACAGCAGCGGGCTGGCAAATTCGTTCCGCTGTCTCTGGTTGGCAGACTTGTTATCCGTATTGGCGGGCGCAGCAGTCGTCGCGTTCACACTCGACGCACCCATGCACTGACGCAAACAGTTGAGTTGCTTGAATGTGCTCGTGCGCGTGTGTCAGTGGTAACAGACTTGGTTTTCTCTCGCTCGCGTGTGTATTGATTGTAACCAAACGAAAGTAAACCACACACACAGGCAGAGCACTACTGAACCAACAAGAGGTGACATGCAACAAACAAAAACAACGCAATGAAAAGAAGTGAAACGCAGCGAGGATGAGGGGAACAGGATGTGGCACCGGCAAGGAGGAGGTGTGACGTAACGGGAACTCAAGGGGTCAAGTGCGAGGTGAACAAGGCAAACCTCAAAGACAAGAAAGGGACGAAAATGCAACAGCATCATGTCACAACGAACGTAAGGACACAACGACCACACCACAACAACACGGAAGCACGAGCAGAACAGCGACAGAATCACAACAAGTGGCAAGAAGGAACATAGGAAGAAGGGAAGGAAGCCGTGACCGCAGCACCAGCATCCTCACTTATCCAAACAAGTACGTGTCCAGTGCATCCCTGTCAACCTTGACAAACACCTTTGCGAATGGCAGGCACTGCATCTCCTGAGAGAGCACGTACTCCTCAAAGTCGTACCGGCCGGGCCTTGGCGTGGCCTGGAAATCGGTAGCTTGGGACACCTGCACATAGTGGGTGTCGTGGAATGCGTCGAACGGCTGCCCGTAGTAGTCGCACAATTCGGGCCCATGTGGATGCTGCTTGGGCACCTTGCCCGTGTAGTCCTTGCTGCGGGTGATTGGGTACGCAAGGCCCGCATGGGCAGCGCACAGCAGTAGCACGTGTTCGCCGTTAGCGTTTGGTGGGCGCCACTGAGTTTTGAGCAGGCCGGTGGAATACCCAGCAGCGTAGCCAGCTTGCGGGGTGAGGTAGATGCCGGAGCCAAAGTACCCGCGATCTTTTGGGCTGCTCAAGTTGATGGCACCATAAGCTATCACGCTGTCTGTGACCGCTTCATCGCATCCGTGCCACCCGAGGAGAACATTCACGTGCTTGACGCCGTCAGCGGTGAGAGCAAACTGCGACTTCAAGCGACCGAGCATGGCTCGCTTCTCCGGGTCGTTGGCTCCATAGTCCGGGTTATGCTGGGCGGCTGTGGGATCGCCACGGCGCCGAGCGGAGCGATGCACGCGCGAGTTAAACCCTTGAAGCACACTTGCTGATTTCGTAATCTCCACACGCGACAAGGAGATGCCTGGCACCATCTGCTCTTCAATCCACCGATACAGAGCAGTGAGGCGAGGCAGTCGTGCGGTGCAGACGTCGCTGTTGGGATGCCTCCACTGGAGCTGCGCATCAAATGCGGCATCCAGCCGCCACGCACGATGATGCCATTCAAAGCCACGCTTGTGCCAGGGGGTCGTCAACGCGGAGTCATCGTCATCTTCATCGTCATCTCATCGTCATCTTCATCGTCATCTTCATCGTCGTCATCGTCGTCGTCA